GGGGCTCCTGCTCCCTTCATGGCCTTTGGCAGGCCCTGGACTCCCTGTGAGTTGGTTTTTGGTTTTGGGCCCAGCCCTGCTCAGAGGATCCCCCTGGGGATGGGGTGAGGGCATGGGGTGACCCCTCCGTGGTCATGGCCAGCATGGTGGGTGGATGTGGCTGTGCTGCAGGGCAGGGAGGCTCCAGGAGGATCAGCACAGGCTGGATCCATGGCTGAGGGCCAGGTCCTGCCCTCAGGGCACCGTCACCCCATGGGACCTCCAGGCTGGGCACCGGGGCTGGTGACAGCAGCTGGACACAGCCCAGGGCAGGGATTGTCCCCTGTGCTGGCCCTGCTGAGGGACCCCTGGAATCCTGGGGGCAGCTCTGGGCCCCTCCAGCAGGAGAGCCCTGGAGGGGCTGGAGAGTCCAGGGAATGGAGCTGGGAAGGGGCTGCAGAATCCCTGAGGGAGCTGGGCAGGGGCTGGAGAATCCCTGAGGAGCTGGGCAGGGGCTGGAGAATCCCTGAGGGAGCTGGGAAGGGGCTGCAGAATCCCTGACGGAGCTGGGAAGGAGCTGCAGAATCCCTGAGGGAGCTGGGAAGGGGCTGCAGAATCCCTGAGGGAGTTGGAAGGGGCTGGAGAATCCCTGAGGGGGCTGGAAGGGGCTGGAGAATCCCTGAGGGAGCTGGAAGGGGCTGGAGAATCCCTGAGGGAGCTGGAAGGGGCTCAGCCTGGAGCAAAGGGGGCTCAGGGGCCCTTGTGGCTCTGCACAGCTCCTGCCAGGAGGGCACAGCCGGGGGGATTTGGGATCTTATCCCAGGGAGCAGGGACAGGAGCAGAGGGAACGGCCTCAGGCTGGGCCAGGGCAGGCTCAGGATGGAAACTGGGGAAATTCCTTCACTTAAGAGAGGTTCAGTGTTGGCAGGGCTGCCCAGGACAGTGCTGAGTCCCTATCCCTGGAAGTGTTCAAAGCCTGAGCAGACACAGCATTTTGTGTGTATTTTGGGGCTATTTGGTCAAAAGTTGGAGTTGATTGTCTTGGAACTCTTTTCCAACCCTAATAATTCTGGGGTTCTATGCCCAGAGCAGGTGTTGGGGGACTCCCACAGCCGAGCTGCTGTGAGCACTGTGGGTTTCGGTGCAGATGTGTCCCTCTGAGCTGCAGTGTCCCCAGGCAGTGCCTGTCCCTGTGTCACACCCTGCCCTGCAGTGGGGCTGTCCCACACCTCTGCAGCTGCTGACACTGCTGAGCACGAGCTGCACCCAGCCCTGCACACTGATACACTTTCACCCAGCAGCTTCCCCTCAATATTCTCCTTTTTCCCCTCATTTTTTGAAATGATATAGCTTGCTGGCTCCAGGAGCATGTGAGAAATGTGGGTCCTACCCAGATTATCCCAGGCAATCAACCTGGAAAGATACAAGATGGAACTTCTTTAATATATTTTTGAGTACTGTAGGCCTGCTTAGGGCATAATTTTCTTCCTGACTGTGAAGAACTGATGTATTTTAACAAGGATAAGAAATGATTAATGGAAGAACTGGAAGAGCCACAGCTTTCCTGGGTTTTCCCTCCTGTTGCTGTGTGGGTGCAGGAATGGGACATTGGTGTTGTTCTGCTGAAGAGCCAAATGTTACATTTGTTAATTAGGAACAATTTACATACCTGGCCTATCACCCAGTGTTCTTTTGGCCTGAATAATAGGAATATTTTAGTTTATTTGTTGCATGAAACCACATTTCTTTAGGTTTCATGTCCTTGGAATGTCTTGCACACCTGTGCAGGCACCACATGAAGTTCAAGATCAAAGTGTCCCTTTGTTGCTCTTCCAATTGGATATAAATGAGATTCTGCTTAGAGCTCCTGTAATGGAGCAGAGATCAGACTCTGAGAAATCATTTGATTTATTCAATATTGGTGTGCCCACCCTTTGGAAAATGGGAGGATGATTTCCCTCCCAAGGGGAGAATTCTCTGGCTGTTGGTGTAGAGGATCCCCTGACCAGTATCCCTGTAATTCCTTGTTTTTGGGAAGAAAGAGCAAATTTCAGCTCTCCCACTCCTCCCTTTTCCCTCTGGAGCAGAGGTGGGTTGGCCCAGAGATCTGAGCTGCCCATTTTTTCCACATTATCCAACTGCTGGAAAAGAGGGAACATCAGCAGAATCTCTTCTAGTTTTAAATTGGTTTCAGTCATGCTCTTTTTTTTTTCCCTTGTTTTTTGGGGTTGGTTCTTTAATTGGAAAGAAAGCAGTTGTTCAGACTTGGCAATATTGTTGTAAACAGCTCAAAATCAAAATATTCTGCACGTTGCTCTGAGGCAAGATGTTGTCTTGGCATCTCAAATAATCTGACAGGTTTATAAAGGAATTCACTCAGCTCACCTGATCTTGACATCCCAGCCCACTGTGGGCATGGGAGCAGCTGGGGCTGGGCTCTCAGCCCTGCAGGGAGCACTTCTGGCATGAGAATGAACCACAGCCCTGAACCAAATCCCCCTGAGCTGGGTTTAGCTGGAGGAAATCCCAGTGTCTGGAAATAGGGTGCTCACCTGGAGAGGAGAAGCTCCAGGCAGAGCTCAGAGCCCCTGGCAGGGCCTGGAGGGGCTCCAGGAGAGCTGTAGAGGGACTGGGGACAAGGATGGAGGGACAGGACACAGGAATGGCTCCCAGTGCCACAGGGCAGGGTGACAGGGACCTTACAGCCCACCCAGTGCCACCCCTGCCATGGCAGGGACACCTCCACTGTCCCAGGCTGCTCCAAACCCTGTCCCCCCTAGCCTTGGGCACTGCCAGGAGTGGCACAGTCTGCCTGGGACGCTGGGGGATGTTTCATTTTCCCAGTAACTTGGTTAAAATACCAGTCCATCAGCCCAGTTCATACTGGGGTGCAGCTCCTGGCTGGGAATGCTCAGGGCTCCCACACCCTTCCCTGCTCTGGGCTGAGTTGAGCTGAACCCTGGTTCCTGACTCAGAGTCATGGGCTGTGTCCATCAGGGCAGGTGGTTCCTCCTGGAGGGGGGGGCAGTTTCTCCAGGAACAGTCATGAGCCACTTGCCCCAAAATCAGCCTGAGCGAGTGGATGTTACTGTAGGGTGTAAGTTCTAATTGGGAAGGGGTTTGCTCCAAAAGCAGCCTTTCCTTGGAAGTGCAG